GTTTTCAGGGTTGGGTTTCTTGCGAGGGTTTCTTGCGGCCGCGCCCGCACTGTAGTTCCAGGCCTCCTAGATGGGGTCTTAGCAGATGGGGGCGGAGGAGCGCGCCGCATCGCCGCTGCATCTTCAAAAAGAGGCGAACCATGGTCTGTGGGCGATGCTTTTTTTAGTTCTGGTTGGGCGTCTTGGGCGATGGTCTATCTGGGCGTCTTGGTTGGAGCATGTTTTATGTTTCATCCCAAAGCCGCATGTGGGAAGACATGCCCGACCTGAGGTTAGGCAAGGGATGTGTCGAGCTAAGCCCGGAATATTCAAAAGTAGTCCAAGAACAGTCTGGGGACGATTTATCGTTTTTTCTTTGACCATTCTTGAGCTCCTTTTGGCGCGAAATTTCACATGTTCGCCCAACATACGCCTGTAGAAGGACGTGCCCGACCTGACTGTCGTCCTCCTCCTCGCTCTTTTTCCTTCCCTGGGCGTTGCACTTTTTGTTCACATCGTGCGTTTTTGCTCGGGCTTTTTTAGAACTCCAGGAGCATCCCGATGGATCCGGCGCGAAGAATGCACAAGACGGTCGGGTCTAGGGCTTTGGATCGTGACTTATCGTTATGCGTTTGTTCGCGATGTCGGATTTCAGGGTCATCCTTCGTCTGTCATGTTCTTGCTTATCTCCTCCCTTTTGCTCTTGATCCTTCTCCTCGCTCCTCCCCCCCAGACGCTTCCGGTGGTGACAAACGACACGACGGGAGGTTTTCGCCGATGTTTGGCCTCTGGGGGCCCTTGCCGGGCCCTGAGGCTGTCAAACAAAGTTTCGGGATGAAGGGGAACACATTTCGGGGGTCTACGAACAAAGTCATGACGTTTGGGGTCCAGGTCCTTCGTCCGTCCTGCTTTTTTTTCTCCTCTCTTCTCCTCCTCTTCCTCTTCCTCTTCCTCCTCCTCCTCCTCCTCCTCCTCCTCCTCCACCTCCTCCTCCTCCTCCTCCTCCTCCTCCTCCTCCTCCTCCTCCTCCTCCTCCTCCCCCCTCCCTCCTTCCCCTCCCTCCCTCCCTCCCCTCCCTCCCTCCCTCGCTCCCTCCTCCCTCCTCTCTGTCCTCCTCCCTCATCCCTCTGCCTCCACCCCGGACCCCGCAAGCCGGTTGGGAGCCCGGTGAGCACACCAGGATAGCCGGGAATCCCAAAGAGGTGAGGCGTGGCGGGCTACACATCGAACCAGCTACCGGCCGTATGGTTGGCGAAGGGTGGTGAGGGGTGCTTGGGCACCGGGGCCCCTTGTGGGGCGGCGACCCCTTGTCCATGGTGGGTCGGTAGCCAAGCATGCTCGCGTCGTTAAATGAACACGACGGGCGACGGGAGGTTTTGGGTCGTCCCGCTCGTTTTGCTACCAGCCATCACCTTGAACCCCCCAGTCTAGATGCCTACGCATTCTCGTAGCATGCCTATGCGTGGCCGTGCCGTTGCCTCGGATGCCTAGGCGTTTGCATGGTTATGCCTACGCATGCATCGAGGGATGCGTCCATGGACGTAGCTAGACGTAGCTGGGCGTAGCCGATGCTTAGGCATCGACCTGGTGATGCCGAGGCATCGAGCTAGGGACGCCTCGGCATCGGCAGGAGGGTGCACAGGGTAGGCATCGATGGTTCAAGGTACCAGAGCCACTGGACCGTGCAAAGGGAGGTTTTCGGCCCCAGGGGCCTTCGTCGTGCCTCGGGACTGTCAGCAAGACGACTCAGAGATCGGGACTTCGGGGACCGCGTATTTCAGCATGGTTTGGTTTATCCCCATCCCGACTGGGCCATGGTACCTCAGCCCCACCATCCAACCTGCTGTTGGGGCACATGCCCCTCGAAATCCACAGGGAACAGCCTATATCCAATCTAGGGGCGTAAACCGGCCAGCGGGGCCCACGCAACGCCAGTGGAGTTAGTCACTAAAACGACGCGAAGATCGGGACAAAATCGGATCGAAATCTCTGAGAATCGGCGGGTTTGGAGGATGTATTTGGCGCCGCGGCCGCTCCAGAGCGTTCCGGAACGCTCTGAGAGCGCTCCGGAACGCTCTGGAGCGATTTATCCCGATCCTAGCCCTGTTTTGGTAACCCGCTGAAACAATGTTCAGTATGGAACTAAGCCGGACATCCCATATCTGGGTATGGGCTCCCACCCGTCGTGCGAATGGTAGGCCTGCTGCACCGATGGCGCAGCGAGCGAGCACCCAGGCGCGTGGAAGTGTGCCCTGTAATGGAGGCGAAACGAGGTGAGAGCGAGTCGGAGGGGGAGAGGACAGACAGGGAGATCTCTGCCCACTCGATATTCTATATGTCTCTGCATGTCGACCGTGCTGTGCCCTCTCTCTTTTTCCCTCTCTCTCTGTCTCACAAACTTTCTCTCTCTGCTTTTAGTGTGTACACATATACAGGTTGTAAGCTGTCCATGCATATTTGTGTATTCGTATGTATACATGTATGTTTGCATGTATGTATGTCTGTATGTGTATGCATGCATGCCTGCATGCATATGTTTGTGCATGAATGTGTATGTGTATGCATGCGTACATGTATGCATGTATGTATGTGTATTTGTCTGTGCATGTATATGTATGTTTATGTGCATGTACGCATGCATGCATGCATGTATGTATGTCGGAGGTTCGGGGGTGAGATCGCAGTGAAACGGAGACCCCCCACCGTGAAATCGGTTTCGGTTTCGTGTTCGCGTCGTTCGTGCGTGGCGAAGCTGCGCGTGATCCTCCTGTAGCGAAAGTCCGTTTCCCGTCCGCCGGTGGCCGGGAGGTGTCCCAGTTGGGCCGAGCGGTGTCCCGGGTGTCCAGGGTATCAGTAGGAGCGAAAGTCCGTTTCTTGTCCGCCGGTGGCCAGGAGGTGTTCCAGGTGGGCCGGGCGGTGTCCCGGGTGTCCCAGGGGTGTCCTGCGCGTCCCGGCGTTGACGCATGTCGCTAATTTCATAATTCATTTTTGTTCGTCGCCCGCGGCGGGCTTTCTTATCCAATCCAGCTTATCTTATCCATCACATCTTGTCCAATCCAATACATCTTGTATTATCCAACCCATATTGTCCCATCTTATCCTATTCCGCCCAATCCAATCCACCAGTTCATGTTTGTCAGCGCCTGCGGCGGGTTTTTTTTTATACAATCCAGCTTATCTTATCCAATACATCATGTCCAATCCAATACATCTTGCCTTATCCAACCCATATTGTCCCATTTTATCTTATCCCGCCCAATCCAATCCACCCAACCCAATCCATTAATTCATTTGTTTCTGCGCCTGCGGCGGGCGAATCCAATCCATCTTATCTTATCCAATCCATTTCAAATCCAACCCATCATATCTTACGTATCCAATGCATCTTATCCCATCTAATCCACCCAACCCAATCCACCAATTCATTTTTGTCGGCGCCTGCGGCGGGCTTTCTTATACAATCCAGCTTATCTTATCCAATACATCTTGTCAAATCCCATACATCTTATCTTATCCAAGCCCATATTGTCCCATCTCATCTTATCCCACCCAATCCAATCCATCCAACCCAATCCATCAATGCATTTGTTTCTGCGCCTGCGGCGGGCCAATCCAATCCATATTTTGACCTCGATAGTCAGATCGACAGTGAGATTTACCGATAGGTCTGCGACGGCTAGGAAGATAGTGGGATCTCATCGTCATCGCGATCATCAGTGTGGTGGAGGGAGACTCTGATAGAGAGGGAGAGAGAGAGAGAGACAGAGAGAGAGAGAGAGAAAGAGACATAGAGAAAGAGAGAGATGAGATCAAGGTGACAGGCTAGAGGTCAGTCAGGGTGGGCATTTGATCTCAACCCCCCCAACCTCCTTATCGCCCGCAGGGCGGTCGTATAGGTATGTATGGATATGTGTATGCGTGTATTCATGTATGCATGCAGGCATGGATGTGTGCATGTGTATGTTTGTATGCATGTATGTGTATGTCTGTATGGTTGTATGTGAGCAGTTATGTGCGTATGTGTGTATGTGTGTATGTATACATGCATGCATGTATATGCATTTGTATGCATGTTTCTGTGTATGTATGCATGTCTGCCTGCATGCATGCATGTCTGTGTATGTGTGTATGTGTTTGTTTTCATGTACGTATGTGTACGATTACATGCATACAGTCATGTATGTATGGATGTGAATGTCTGTGTATGCATGTATATGTATACGTGTATGTGTATATGTGCATGTGTGTATGCATGCATGCACGTATACGTTTGCATATGCAGTTTGATGTTTATGGGTGTACGTATGTATGTATGTATGTATGTATGTATGTATGTATGTGTGTATGCATGTATGTGATGTATGTATGTGTATGTATGCATGCATGCATGCATGTATGTATGTATGTATGGATGTATGTATGTATATGTGTAGGTGTACATGTATGTGTGTATGTATGTGTGTATGTGTGTATGTGTATCTGCGTATGCATGCATACAGGCATGCATATGCGCGCATATACCGGTGTGTGTATGTATGCACGCAAGCATGCACGTATGTATGTATGTATGCAAGTGTGTGTGTGTGTGTGCATGTGCATGTATGTATGTATTTATGTATGCGTGTATGTGTGCAGGTATGCAAGTATGTGTGCATGTGTATGTATGTATGTATGTATGTATGTTTTTATGCATGTATGTATGTATGCGTGTCTGTATGCATGCATGCATGCATGCATGCATGGATGGATGTATGTATGTATGTATGTATGTATGTATGTATGTGTGTATGTATGTGTGATTGTGTGTGAATGTGTGTCTGTATGCATGCATGCATGCATGCATGTACATGTATGTACACGTGTGTCAGGTGTATGTCTGCCTTCATGCATGCATTATGTATGTGTGTATATGTATGCGTGTATGATTAATGTCATGTGTATGATCAGCCAAGCGTGAATGCCTCCAGTCAGTACCCGCTGTCTGTATTCCGTAGCCTTCGGCTTAGGTTTTTCTTGGGTGTATGCTCAACCTAGACCTCCAGGCCCTGTATACCGCCGCGATTGCAGGGCTGCCTGGCTGGGCCGCCCTCATCTGGCAGGCCGCGCGAGGGCCTGGACAGTCCGCCGCCCCTGAGGGCGGAGGAGACCACCCAGGGCACAAGGAGGAGTGCCCCGAGGTGATCTGTGTGTGCCCGGAGGTGGTCTGCCCGAGGCCGGAGTGCCCAGAGACAGATTGCCCAATCGTCGAGTGCCCGTCGGTGCCCGACCCCAGGGAGCTGTACCCCTTGCTGGAGGAGGGCCTCTTCGCCTTCCTCTTCGTGCCGCTGCTGATCGCGACAGCTGCGGGAGTGCTACTCGGCCGCTGGTGCGCCAGGAGGGCGCTGAGTCAGAAGGAGGCGGGCGGTCAGCAGGTCATCCCGCCCGTGACGGACGAGAGGCGGCGGCAGCTCGCCGCTGAGCAGGTGGCTGCCGTTCGAGCTCGCCGAGAGGCGGTGCGCCACACACAGCAGTGAGAATGGCAGCCAGAGGAGACTACATCCTCATCAAGTATAACGGAGTAGGGGAGGACCTGTACCATGAGACATTGATCACGGGGGTCAGTGCTGAGGATCCCACCGAGGTGACGCTGTACACCGCCGATCGGGACCACTACCAGTTCAATATTGCGCCTGGAGATGATGTTGAGGCGGTGTATTGGATCGGGCTGCCAGGAGGTCGTCCAGCGCATGTGCCAGAGAATCAGATCTATCGGTTCCGCCACAACGTGCCGCCCAATGAACGTCAGAGGCTCTTCGCGGAGGCGCAGGGCATGCTAGGTGCTGCGCCGGCGCCGCCACCAGCCCCCTTGGCGGCCCCGATGCGGAACGTGCAGAGGCAAGGTCTGGGCCGCCCCGCGGGGGCGGCCGCCAGACGCGCCGAGCCCGGCCGCGTGTGGGTCGTTGCCAAGGACCACGGCCGCCACCAGAAGGGCGACAGTGTGGAGGAGCTTCCTGCCGGGGCGGTGGTGCTGGGAGAGAGGGCGGTCGTCCCCACGGCGGACGGCAGCACGGCCTTCTTGCAGATGATCCCCCAGGACAGCATTGATGAGTTCAAGATGGACGATCTCAGGGTGATGCCAGTGAAGTTCGACGGCATGGGCCGACGCAGGAGGCTCTTCCAGGATGGCGTGGCCAGCTTCGTGCCCGACGAGCCCGAGGGGGGTTTGGGGTTGGAAGGCCCAGGCACCGTGTCCCTGAGGTGCCAGACCTATGTGGAGAGGTCCCAGACGCCAGTGTCTCAGCACGCGTCGTGGAGAGCGACGTCGGGCGTCTCGAGCGGGGACCGCAGTGTCTTCGAGCATGAGGTGCTCTCCGAGGTGCTCGAGAGCATGGTGTGCACGGACCAGTTGCACGCCCCTGCACTTCGCAGTGCCGAGCTGGTCTGCAGGAGGTTCCAGCTGATCGAGAGCGCCCACTCCTTGAACCCATCGGCCCCCGACTATTCGGCCGCCGACCAGCACATGGGGTGGGGCCGCCGCCGTCAAGGCATGATGGTGGCCCCGCTGCTCCAGCAGCACGTGGCGACGGCCCTCCGCGACGAGCACCAGGTGGCCAAGGAGCAGAGGAAGGCCCATTAGGAGCGTCGTCTGGGCCGCCAGAACAACAATAACCACAAGGACAAGGCCCAGGAGGGCCAGGGGTGATGCGGCCCCCTCCGAGGGGACACGGACCTAGCCTCTCGGCAGTGACACACCCAGGATGTCCACAATTTTTTGATAGAGCTCGGCCACGGGATCTATTTCCACTCCCTCATGTGGTTGAGCAATCGGCTACTGAGGGGCATCCCTCACGCTAGGTGCGAAGACGCCTGGCGAGGAGGAGGTTTTTGGACAGAGCCACGAACTCGGTCATCAGTACCTTGAATGAGATGCAGGGCTGCGCCGGGGTGCACGAGGGAACCCCCGCGATGGGCCAGATGCTGTCTCAGGATGCGATACGCTGTGACGTCGCGTCCACTCCGCCATCCCAGACCTTGTACACTTGACACGGGGCCGTTCGCGAGCTCTTGTTAGGCATCGTTGACTATGCAGGCAGCGATTGCAGCACCACGGTTCGTCCCTATCGGCGGGATCAGGTTGCTCTTCCAGATCCCGGGAGGCCCTCGGCGGATTTGCTGTGTACCCTCCCGGAGCCTGACCAGGATTTGTTGAAGTCATGGGATACTCATATGCTTGCTGACCCTGCCGATGTGGGGTTCTATCGAGAGTCGGGACATCAGTTTAGGTTGTATTTCGACGAGATTTTCAAGGCGCAGCGCGATGTCTACGTTGAGTTTTTGAAAGACCTTAGCGACGCCAAGATGATCGGTTGGACTGAGAAGCCCCTGAGCTTGGTGCCCCCCTTCTTTGTGGTAAAGAAGCACGACAGGTTACGACTCATCATGAATTGCAGAAGCACGAACCTCCTCTTTCGAGCACCCCCTGCCCCTGAGATGGGCACGGCTGCAGCGTGGGGCAACCTGGGGCGTCCTGAGGCTTGTCCTGACCCCGAGGCCGGCGGAACTGACGCATGCGGAGGTGGCGGAAGCAAGCTCTGGGTAGCTCAGGCTGACGTGAAGGACTGTTTCCACTGTGTTCGCAACCTTCCAGAGCTGTGCCCGTATCTCTGCATGCCGCCGATCACGGAGGGTGAGCGAGCCGACGCTGGGATTGGGGGCATTAGTGGCCTTGGGGACTTAGCTCGTGAGGTTTCGGTTTACCCAATGCTGTTGACTCTTCCAATGGGTTTCTCCTGGGCCTTTTACTTCGTCCAGCGCCTCGTGGAACACCAGTGCAGAGTTTCCCTGGCTGGGGCTGGCTTGGCTTTCAAGTTCCTGAGGGGCCAGGCCCCTGCTCCAGACCTTGGGGCCCAGTTGGCTGTTCTACCTTACTGCGACAACATCAATGTAGCGGGCATCAGGAGGGAGGAGGTGAAGGAGGCAAAGGATGTGATCGTTCGGAGGCTTCGATTCGTGCAGTTCACTGTCCATGAGGAGACCAGGCCCGAGACCCTGTCGTACTCGCTTGGTCGCGTCATCGATGGGGAGTCTTGGGTAGTTCGTAATCGGTCTGAACGAGGGGGGCGTCTTCGCAAGGTCTGTGAGGCTCTTGAGGGGGGTCAACCAGTGACGGGTAGGCAGATGAAGCAGTACCTTGGCCACGTGGTCGATTTCTTTCTGCTTAGACGGGAGGTCCTCTCGGTGCTCAGATCTTGCTATGGTTTTGCGCAGGCGGCAGAGAAGAAGCCCCAGAGTTTGTGGCCCTCTGCTCGGCGCGAGGTTCGCTGGATACGCTCTCTCACTTTCATTGGTCTCGCTCGGCTGGGCAGGCCTTGGCACGACACAGTCGTGTCGACTGATGCGTGCGAGTCTGGTGCAGGGATCGCTGCACGTCGCGCGGACCCCGCAGAGGTGGCGACTATTGGCCGAGTCCGAGAGCGGTGGAGATATCGCTCTCGTCATCCCCTTCACTGTCGTCCTCGTCTGCATGCCCTGGGAGGGGACTCTCTACACGATGTGGACACGGTCTTGCCAGTGACCCGACAGGCCCTTGGGGGGCACCTGAGGACCTGGAGGTTAACCCGGGATTCGACGAGATCCCAGAGGCCTTCATGGACCCCAACAAGTGGCACGAGGTGTTTGCCATCCGTTTCAGGAGGGAGGAGGCTATACCTATTCTGGAAGGTCGGGCGTCTTTGTTGGGGATACAGCACTACATGAGGTCTTCTCGGTCTTTTGGTAAGCGTCTTCTACTTGCGGGGGACCAGCTAGGGAACACGTTGGCTATTGGGCGTTCTCGGGCCTCCTCGTGCGATCTGCTCATAATCATCAGGCGTATCGCTACCTATATGTTGGCTACTGGCTCGAGTCTCTCCGCGCTGTGGACCCCTTCTGAACTCAATGAGGTCGCCGACCGATCCTCTAGACGATGGGAGAGTGACGTCAGGGCTCCGAAGGGCCGCAGCGGCTCGGGCGCCCACCCGCCGCGCCAGGTTTCAGATGACGGCTCTGGCGCGCCACGGGGAGTGCGTGACCTCGCGACTCCAGCGGCACCACCGGGGATCCACCTCTGCGAGGCCTGTGAGTTCGGCGCCGCTGCGCCTCCAGCGCCAAGGGGCTGTGGAGCGCATCTCGGGGCCGTCGAGGGAGAGCCGCCGGGAGAAGCGCCAGAACATCTTCGGGGCCTTCGAGCGTCGGGCCCTGTCGGGCCAGCATTCCATTCTCGAGCGTCACTCGATTACGGCACCCACGGAGGGCCTATACACAGCCTGGTGGGAGGAGCTCCAGGATTTTGCGGATATGAACGGCTACACCTTGGACAGCGTGAAGAATGCCGACATTGCGCTGGTGGACTTCGCGGACTACTTGTTTCTCGAAGGGTTCGAGCGGCCCGACCTCATGAAGATGTACGCCGCGGCCGCCTGGTACCTGGCCGGCCTGTCGCCCATCGGGAAGCTGCGATTCCCGCGGTTCTCCCGCGCAGCCCGGGGACTAGGCCTGCTGGCGCCAGCGCAGACCGTGCCGCCAGTCCCCTTCGAGGTGGTGTGCTGGATCGCTTGGCACATATACCACCGCCTCCAGGACTGGACCAACCCACTCTGCCTGCTGACCATGTTCGTCTGCTACTTCAGGCCCGTGGACGTCCACAGCTTGAGGGAGGAGGACCTGGTGCCGCCCGGAGGCTCGAGCAGCCACTGGGTGCTCAACGTACACCCCGCGCGCCGCGGGGAGACGTCAAAGGCGGGGGTGTCCGACGAGGCGCTGCTCCTCGACTCCCCCTACCTCCCAGGACCGGGCCCAGCGCAGCATCGGCGATGTCGCGGCCAACGGCTGGCAAAGTTGTTCGATGTCAGCGAGAGGGGGCTCAGCCTTCAGTGGGGCCGCTCGCAGGAGCAGCTCGGGCTGCTTCCATCCCAGCGGCATCGCCTGTGCCAGATCCGTCACGCGGGGCCGCCCCACGACGTCCTCATGGGGGTCCGCACGCTCCTCGACGTCAAGCGCCGGGGGAGGTGGAGCTAGGGCGCGACCGTCAAGCGGTCCGAGGCGGCGGGGGTGGCGCAGCAGGAGTGGGCAAAGCTGTCGGCGGCACAACAGGCCGCCGCGACTCGCGCGGCAGAGTGGATCAGGTCTCAGGTGGGTATGTTCTCCGACCCCAGCCCGGGCGGGCGCTGCGCTGGAGGACGCCGTGGCTCCTCCGGGAGCTGTGATGCGGCACGCGCGGGATCCTCGACAGCGCGGGCCGCCAGGGCATCGGGGGCGTCGGCTGGGACACGGCCATCAGCTCAAAGACCGACCTCTCGTGTGCGGCAGTCATCAAGAGCATCGCCTTCGACTTCAAAGCGGCCGAGAATCGCTTCGGCCTGAGCGGGGTGTTTGCAGCTCTCTGGGTTGGATTCGTGTGCTCAACTTGGACTCGCATTCGCGCCCGCCCGCCTCTTCCCAGATTACGGGATGATGATGAGTACTTGTTGGGGTACCCACAGTATGAGCGTGATGTTGATAGAGAGGCTGTGCAGCTGGGAAATCTCATGGTAGAGCTATTAGTGAAGCTACTTCGGGAACTCTTACCGAGGAGAGTCGTTGTGGTCATAGAGAACCCACTGACGTCCAGGCTCTGGCTTCATCCTGGACTACTTCAATTGAAGGCTGAATTTTCTGATCACCAAGACGTGTTGCTAGATCAGTGCGCCTACGGCACTCCTTGGAAAAAGCCCACAAGGCTGCTGGTGTGGCACTGCCCTGCGATGAAGGCGCTGGGCAGGCGTTGTACAGGCACAAGAGGTGTCTGCGCCTTCACAGCAGCCTCATGCGACTCTGACCGGCAAAGTGCACGGAGTTTGGCGTACCAAGCAGACCCAGCAGTATCCACGACGTTTTCGTGCAGCTTTCTCGCGACGCCTGGCTCAGCATCTCAGACAGAGTCCGCCTCCTTTGTAGCCCTTTTCCGTGCCCTGCCAGAACACTATAGGATAGCGGATGCGGGAGACATTGATTATTAAATAATCTTGCTCTGCGCGCTGATTTGATTGTTGAAGTGCTGCCGGCATTGTTTTCGGCCAGCTGCGAGCCTCACCCAACCGACAGCTGCCAATAGACAATGTTTCTAACTTCTGGCGGAGACACGAAACAGGCATGATCAGCCAAGCGTGAATGCCTCCAGTCAGTACGCCGCTGTCTGTATTCCGTAGCCTTCGGCTTAGGTTTTTCTTGGGCCCACCGTCCACCCCAACACCTCCTGGGAGACATTGATTATTGAATAATCTTGCTCTGCGCGCTGATTTGATTGTTGAAGTGCTGCCGGCATTGTTTTCGGCCAGCTGCGAGCCTCACCCAACCGACAGCTGCCAATAGACAATGTTTCTAACTTTTCGCGGAGACACGAAACAGGCATATCTATAGATGGTTTGCACGCATGCCTGTATGTACGCATGTCTGTATGTATATATGTATGCATTCATGTATTTGTGTATGCATGTATGTTTGTTTGTTTGTATGTATGTATGTATGTATGTGTGTGTCTGTGTGCATGCATGTATGTGTATATACATATATATATGTATATATATATATATATATGTATGTCACATTTAGCATGTTCAG